GATTCTTTGAAGAAGGGGCACAAAGTTGAACCAGGGGGGTGTGCATCCCCTTCACCCCCCTGGATCTGCCCCTGATCATGACTATCATCACAATCACTTAATCACTACTACCATTGTCATCACAGTAAGCATTGAGAGGGAGGGGCTGAGAGGCTACAATCCTATGACTTTTTGCTGAATTAATACAATATATTATCATTTCTCAGCCCCCAACTTAGTATGACTTATACAAATATACTTTCCAATCAAAGTCCCCCCATCCCCCTTTAGGCTGCTCTAGAGTAATTTCATCATCATCATCACCACTACCATCATAATCTTCATCACCATCATCATCATTATCACATTTACTGACTGAAAAGGTGATACACCAAATTACAAATAAAATGTTTTTAAACCTACCCAAATAAGATTATTCAGATTATGTTTGGAATTAATGACACGCACTGCAAGGTTCTTGTGTGCGAGGCAAATGAATCCCAAATCAGAAAGTTTGCATCTTGGCAGCAAAATATAAATTGATTAATTTTTTTTCAAATAATCATTCACTTTATTCAAGTTTTATAGAGTCAATAATTTTGCTGCATTATTAATTAATTGAAGCTTAAGCAGATTAAGATTACATCTTTTCTTTAGTTTAATAACTTTTTATAAAAGGCCCACTACGTACAGATTTTCTTAAAATTCTATTGCCGATTTATACTCTTACCTTCAACGCCAAGTATCTGGTTCAGGCCATCTTCAGTGTATGACATTGCATTTTTGTGAACACCTTCCAGCGCATCCACGATATTTTGACCAAACTGTTTCCCTAAAGGCGTTAAAACTTGAGATATCGAGCTGGACATCTTGGAGAGAATGGCTGAAACTCTTGTGACATCTTTTCCTAAGTCTTGTGCGCAGTAGTCTCGGGTTTTTACCGCGATGTGCGACAAAAATTGAATAAACTTTGGTAAGACATTATAAATAAGACGAAATACGCCGGCAGGAATCTCTGGATAGTGAATAGCAGTGTAAAGGGCGACCAGGGCCAGAATAGAGTAAAAAGCAACTTTTCGGAAACCCATTATGGATCGAGTTCTCTCGCTGTGTTAGAAATTCCTGTTTGGTTGCAGAAGAATTGCGACAACTTTAAAACCAAATGTAAATACTTCAGTGCGGCTCGACTATTCTAGCTATTCTAGACTATTCTATTTTAAGGACAAAACAGGGTCATGACGTCATCAGTACGTACGTACTGATATTTGAAGGGCCGGACAGGAAAGAGTTTAACTCTTTCCTTGCCTCTTCCTCTGCCTTGCTTGCTGTATTAAAGCAAGAACTTTCCCGCCAAGTGCGAATGAATAATTTTAAATCTCAATTCCCTAAGGAAATTTTCCAAGTTTTAAAGGTTCATAAACTCACCGTTTCACTAGAATGAAACGGTGAAATTTCCCGACATCTCTACTCCATATCAAGCTCTTGGCGTAAAACTTTCTGATTAATAAAGGCCTACGCTATAGAGCTTATCATTTGCCAAAGAAATGGTCACCTGCAACACAAACAAATAAGCTGGAAAAAGTTCAAGTTCGTCCGCCATCTTGACCGTGAAGCAAAAGAGACCTGAGGCCGACAATTGGTGATGCGTAACATGCTTGCGGACTGCCGCTGGGTCATCGCGGGCGCAACGTTCTATTTTATTTGTTTTATTTTATTTTTGACAAAAAAATGAAACGTTTGAAATATTGAAGCAAAATGAATTGAGTTTAGCCCTTTTATTGCTTGGATATCAATTA